CTAGCAAGAAGACTTTATATTACCTTATCCAGAAACAAGAGCTTCCAGCTGGTTTCATGGGAATTAGTCCTAACCTTTGCTGACTCACAAAGGGACAAAAAGAGAAAACCTCCAAGAGATACGGGAAAAATTTGCCCTGTAGCTTTGGCCTCTATATTTAGGTAGTCTTAATTCGTGTTAGCTAAAAACATACTGTACATGTAAGGCCTAAATGACAGTTAAGCCAACAATATCCTTTAAAACTTAAAGCCTACAAAATACAGACATTTAAGACAACCAAGACCAAATAACAATGTTACTTTGAGTGCAATATCCACAATCTAAATTTCATATGATAACACCAGTACAGTGAAAATCAATACGCTCTCTGTTAATGAGACAGGGTAATCAAAACGGAACTAATTATTTCTCAGATATGCTGGATTTTAAATATCATTTTTTGACCTAAGTGCAGCTCACCACAGTCTAAGAGTAGTGAAATTACTGACAGAATGTACGAGAAATATCCCAAACCAGCTCAATTATTATCTGAAAAGCAGTACATGAAGAGGTACTGAATATGGTACTGGATACTTTTGGTTTGCTTTGCTTAAGGAAAATGAGAGTACGAGGCTTTGTTTTTCCCTTGTTGCTGGCTCACAGACCAGAATACTATTTAATTGGTACCATGGGCAGGAGCATCTTTTGTGTACTTCCCTGCTGTTGCCCCCTCCTAAATGAACAGGATTTCTTATTTAGCCACTAAAGCACACTGCTTGTAAGTTTTCATCTTCGAAGGTTCTGTAAAGCTTAGGGAAGAGATCAGAAAAGATGTAGGGGACCATTTTTTAATTAATGTCAAATACTGAAGCTAGCAAAGTTGTCAGGGAGAATATTTAGTTCAGGAACAGTATTTTCCAGATTGTAATAGCCAAGAGACAGCTCAGGAAACAGAATTTTCTGGGATAGCTGGAGCTGTGTGACAGTTTTGTGGTTTGTTTTCTTAAATGCTGTCCCTTTGGTAGTTCTCCTTAATTAAAATTTATTCTGATATATTGAAGTAATACTTTACTTCTAAGGTGACAGTTACTCACAATTTGTTGTATAATTACTAATCAGAAAAGGCAAATGGCTTCCTAGGCATATGCACAAATATTGCTATTTAGAAAATTAATTCACTCACATACTACCCACTTTCTTGTTTTATTGGTAGCTGGTAAGAGCAGAACACGTAACACAAGGTTTTAACATTACTCTTCCTGAAGAGATAAGTACATTAAGACAGCTCTGTAAATGGTAAGTGAAAGCTCTCCATGATCAAAACCACCACATCAAAGAACTCTGAACAATCAGATTTTCTGAATAAAGGGGAAGATGGAATTAACTAAGAATACAGTTCCCACATTGATATAGCAATGAATACAAGATCATTAAGCCATCTGCATAATGATGAATGAGCATATGTTAAAAGCAAAAAGTAATTTCTGTAGGGGAGGAAAGGTCTAGGAACAAGCCATATCTTAATGACACACTCTCATTACAAAAGAAATATTTGAAAAATATTGCTTAGTGTGATCATGTTAATATTGTAAAAAATTCATTTTCAAAAACCTTTGTGTTTACACTGTGAATCCAACAGCACCTTGCCCATTGTGTCAGCACCTATGTAATCAGACCCACACTGGATGTATATTCATGGTGTCTTAAGTAGCTAAAATGTGTACTTTCACATCCTACAGTTAGTAGCTCATAGTAAAAAATAACAGTTTGTTAACAACTGTCCCATCATCATGAGTTTTATATTTATATTTACATATGTATCTGTGTCTTTATACCTGCATGTGTACAAGCTACATATTCATTTTCTTTATGAAGGCACATTCACGGACAATTCACTGAATCATTCACTGACAATTCACGGGAAATACGGAATTAACTGGTTTTTGCAGTCATGTTTGTTCTTTGCATGTATGAAAGTGTTATTTATTAATGTTCTTTTAGTAAGAATTTAAGCATCCTCAGTTCTGCTGCCCATCTTACATCTAGATAGTTGAATTAAAATGTGAAAAACAAATGAGATGCACAGATTTACAATGGTGATTTTAAGACAAACTGGCACAAAGCAATCTACAATGTACTTAGAAAGATTAACACTACCTACTTGTTGTGGGAAGCTTAAACCTCAACAGTTCTCTTCTTGACCTTCTGTCAACTTAATCCAACTGCTGTTTTAATGTTTATCCTTATTTTGTGGAATTACAAAATACAACAGTTCTAACGGAGAAATTAGAAAGCAAAGGCAATTCCTTTTTTTATTTTTTCTCCCTTTTAGTTACCTTGTGTATTTAAAGGCATGCTGGGGCCAAATTTCTTCAGAGCTGGGAACACTGAATTCTGAAAGAATACAGGATCTTGACCATAAGCACCACAAAATGTGAACTGCTGAGTGTCCCCTGTGCAAATCCAGCTGAAGTCTGATTGCAAATCTAACTCAGCAGGTCAGCATTTCTGAAGAGCTCAACATCCTATTTTGGAATAACAAAAAAAGTGACAAGCCTTTCGAGCAGCTTGGCACTGCTCCACAGCAGAGCACAAACCTGCAGTTTGAGCTCAGCGGGGTGACTTGGTGCAAGCTAGAGAAGGATGATCTGGCTCTCACTACACACTACGTCTGCAGGTTTGCACATCTTTTCCCCAGATTGTCACAAATCAGGCCATTCACAGATAGCCACCATGAGCAGGTTGATGCTTTGAGCAGCTTGCTGTGCCACACCACGGGCAGGATCAGAGGCACTCAGCAAAAGAACTATCTTGCAGGAGCGCCTGAATTCAAACACATCTAATCAGCAGTTCAGGCAGGGCTGCGTTCTCCACCTGACCAGAAGTGTTTGTAGACAAAAACAATATGCTAGTGTTTCCCTGACATTCATGCTAATAAACTGTGGAAGGAAATCAGCATTAGGAAGCAAAACAACATATAATTGCCATAGACGAGTACTGCAAAACAGCCAATTTGTCTGTGTTTCAAATGAAAAATTACGATTACTCTGCCTTCATTTGCCATCTTCTGTATCAGAACCTGTTATTAATCATATTCCCAGTCCAGACTCCAGGAATAATACAGTTTAATACCCAGCAGGAAGTAGGTATGTTAACATAATAACCGAATTGTATATATTTTGGATGATTAATTACTTTCTTTCAAGGGAGAAAGGTTATGGAGCCATCATGAATCATTGACAAAAAACTCAATTTTAAACAGAGTTAGGCACCACCATGGAAAGAGTCACTCAAGTGAAAAAAGATAGTCATTGGATGCAACAGTGTACATTAAATGACAATTGGAGAAGTTTCTTATTAAAAAAACATAACAAAACCAAGCCACAAACCCAATACAAATTACAAATCAATTAACTCTTACTCTCAAGCACATGAAAATTAAGGCTTTCTTGACACCATATTGTGAGATACTGGCAGGGGTTCTTCTATTCTGTATAAGCAAATCCTTCAAGCCCTGACTCATTACACTGGCCAGGTTCAGACCTCCAAATCACCTTCAACAATAGTAATAAAAATGCTTGAGAATGACACCTAATCCCAATAGGATTAATTATTAATTGAGGGGAAAATCCTAATCCTGTCTGGAAAAATTATCAATGGTCAGTTCTCTTGTACCTCAGTGTCAGGGGCCTCTCCATCCCATTGCCAAAGAACCTTGTTCATCAATGTACTTCTGAACACTCAATCTGTGGCTGCTCCTTCACCTGAATCTGGGATTGACCTACACTGATGCAGAGCATGGCAGGCAGCTGCCTGCCTTCTCACTCTGCCCACACAGAGCAGCACAGCAAGTTCCATGAAGAAAAGAAAAGTCTACTATAAAAAAGTTAGGCTCTGTGCTGCCATGGACTCGCATCACTGAACCACCTGCGACTGTCAAACTCTGAGAGAGCAAAAGACAGGAGAGACAGTTTAGAGAGAGATACATAAAACTAGGGTGTCATGATTCAAACCTGGCGACACTCCAGTATCGGGAGTCTTGCCATTTAGAATTTGCTGAGCCAGATTTCTCAAAAGAGATCAGCTCCCATCTAAGCATCTAAACAGCAAGTTCATTACTGAAAATGCCACCACGCTCAACAACTGTCAGCATGCTTCCCAGAGGGCTCGATCTGCTGACTGCTTCTGGAAGCCTCGCTGGGAGAAGCCCTCCCAGAAACACTGACTGACCAGTGGGAGTGGGACCGGCTAGAAGATACTACAGCAGTACAAGTGGCTCATTTCCCTACAGACTCTTCTGAAACTGCCCGATAAAATGCAAGTATCTACAACTACTTTCTCAGAATAAAACTAAACTGCTTGCGGTTGATTGCCAAGTATGTTGAAGGAAGTGTCTATGGAGAATGAATGAAAGCAAAGACATTTTCAGGGCATCAGTGTTTCTTAGACTCATCAGTAATTTGTTTTCACGCAGCTTTTACTCTCTTCGTTGATACCAGTTGTGCCTTTCCTGTACTTTTTTCAGGAAGCAAAGATTTGTGCATTGGTTGTCTCCTGGCTGCTCTTGTTTATAACATGCTGCCATAATTCCAGATTCGTGCTTCTAATTCTACTGTTCTTGTTAGAAAAGGTGTTACTTTTTGACAAGAGATGATCATTTTCTCTCTGGGGTGCTCCTGCAAAGCAAAAAAACAGATGCTGTGAGGCTCACAGTGTTGCTTCTGAACAATGGGAAGAGGTCATCCAAGCACACTCCAATTTACTCAGACTGTGCCAATCTGGCAACACTCTTACATCTCAGAGATGCTGTTACTTAAAGGTTTGCCATAATGCACTTGAAAGGGAATTTTTTTTTTTCCAGACAATTAAAGAAGAAAGACTGGAAAAATACTGCCATTTCTATAGACAAAAGCAGACTTCATACACTGTTTCCCAAGTTATATGACACTTTTAAAAATAAACAATGCAGAAGGACATTGTGATTATTACTGCCAAACAGTAATGTCTGAGAACAGTGTAGAATGGGGAGACCAGCAGAACTGTCAAGTGTAAGGGCAGGATCTGACCTTCAGGATGCTGAAGGTAATTTAAAAGAGGAAGACCTGTGTCATATTTATGCTGGATTTGTTCTAAGAGACCTGTTTTCCTCAATATCTTTTTCCATCTTCCACTGCAAAACAAAGGCAAAAGCTACAATGCATTTAGGGGTTTGGAGGAGGGAGGTGGGTTTTGTGGCTTTGGTCTGTTGGTTGGGTATTTTGCAGCACTCTCAATGACATTGTTTGGTAGACTGATCAGTTATAGATCAGCCCAGTTTGATCATCAGTTTCCCATAAAGGTTTGAGATAGCCCACTGCAAGAGGAGCTACAGGAGAGCTCCTGCTGCAGTAACTAGAGCAAGTAGAGAGGCACAAAGCTGCAGGCCTCTCCAGCCCCTTCAGAAACCGAAGAATTAACCATTTTACTGCCCCTTCCCAAGGCTTTTGATAGTCTTCGACAACATGAACTCCAGCCTAACAGCTGTGGTTCCAATAGGTTATGTCCTATTTGGAAAGCACGACTGTTCCCAGTCTATCATTGATGGTGGTGACAGCTCACATCAAAGACCAGCAGTTTCACATCAGGACTGGATATAGTTGTAATATAGATGGAGATAGTAGCAGCCCACAGATCATGAGTGAGTATGAAAAGCACATATACTGTCTTGTAGTAGGCTTCATAATGCTTCCCTTTCTTCTCACTCTGTTTCTTCTCACCCAGGAGATAAATTCATGTTTTATGAAGATATTTCTATGCTACAGAGATAACATAACTACAGAGTAGAATAGTCAGAAGAGGCCAAAAATTCAAAGAACCATGAAGACTTGGTTCTCTTCTTTTCTAGGACCTATGGAAGCAAAATCCTGGAGCGTTTGTTTTGACTTCAACACCTCTACTATCAGTGGCAAAGACCTTTCTCCCAGCAGTTTCAGCAGTAGGAGGTAATTGAAGGACATAATATAGCACAGTGTTTTCAAGGAAAACTTGTTTTCAGATACCTGCTGGGCACCATAAATGCATTCGTTCTCGTTATGCTGACACAGTCAGTCAAGCACAGACTTCCAACAGCTCACTGACAGGTGCTGAGGATGCATTTATCATCTTTAAATATAACTCACTAGTGAACATTTCTGGTTTGCTGCAGTGCCAGAAGAATTTGCTTTGGAGTGTCCACTCGGTGCCAGATTACACAGTTCATTACCGGCATGTAGGAAATAGAAACAAGCAAAGAAAAATCATTTGTGTAGATTGTTTTTCATTACAGTGAAAACATGATTCTCCGTGGCAGCTTCAAGTCAAATACTACTTCAATAATCATGGAAAAACTAAAGATGGGTAAATATTTGCAGCCTTTTAGTTCTGTTGCACAGCACAAGTAATTGACCTCCACAAGAAAATCAGGTGGGTGCTTGCAGTGCCAGGTGCAAGTAAAATATATTGAAGACATTCCAGTCTGACCAGCTCTTGAAGACCTCATTCATACTGCGCCAGAGATCCGTTGTGGTGGAGCTCTGGAATGTGTCCGGAACTATTTTGGAGACTTCATCTAGGCAGTATGTGTGTCATTCTTTACCAAAGGAAAGGAGAGGTGGCTGCATGTTTCCTATTGCTCTGAAAACCTTCCAGCTTCTCTTGCATCAGTAGAGGCCTCAGCACAAACATAGCTTTGTGGCCTTGTCACTTATGTGAGTTCCCTCCTTTGAGGACTTAGAGGAGGACATGAAGGAATCTTCTAGTGACAAGCCCCTACACCATAAAGTGACACTATAGTGTATCACTTTACTGTATCAAGGCATAGCCATCAAAACTGAGGAATTTCTGTTATTTTGCTCAGACTTTCACTATCTAACCTACAATCCTTGAGTACAACTTTCTGATGTCTTTCAGACTCACAAATACATTCTAAAAAAACCCCTTTTTCTGTTTTGTAGCATCTAAAGATAAATAATTTTTCATGTAAAAGTCAAGTACTAGGCCTTCCTCATGTGTTTTAGATGAATGGAAATTTTTCAGACAATAATGCTTTTTGTTTCCTGTGCAGATGACGTAGATGTTATGGCAGACTGCAATCTAAGCCACTTGCAGTATCCATTTAATGCTTTAATTTTTTCCATTATATGTAATTTGGGACTCCTAGGCAGGGAAGTAGGGAGTGCATGGACAACCAACATAGCTAAAAGCTTTGCAATTAGTCCAGTACGTAGTTCAGTGCAATTAACATTAGAATGAGTTTGGATTTATAGTTTTTTAAGCCAGTTTCTGAAACAGCATGTATTACTTCACTTTCAAAATAATTTACGCATTACAATAGTTCCAAAATTCCCATTGCAATGGGGAAACTCTGAAGTAGGTTTCTTTCCACCAGCATCAGTGGAATTATAGTTGCCCTGACACTGCCACAGAAAGTGTGGGGAGAAGAATGATTTTCTATTTGAAACCAAGGACAAGTTATGAGGCCCTTTCTCCCTCTAAAAGCCTCAGGGAATTAAGTTTTACAAGAGAGCTGAAGTAATAAAATAGAAACTTGTTAATCCCCAAACCCACCACCCTGTGCCACATATAAAGATAAAAGTCTTAAGAAGAAAAGATGTTAACACATGCCAAGGTGAAACACAGATACACATCTGGGCACTCCCGCCTGAGGTTTCCTTCGAAATGGCTCTGCATCCAGGATGCTGGCCACTGCTGGCAAGATAGCAAAGCTCCCTGTACAACATGTTGGAAAATTAAGTCCCTAAACAGGACTGTAGATTCTTCCACAGGAGCTCCACACTTTCTAAACTCACATAGAAATGATCAGACCATCCTTTTTCTCTTACTGAGGCTAATCAGTCCTACTAAGAGTAACAAAAGTTATCAGCAAAACCTCTAAAAGTAATGTTAGATACTGTTTAAATATTCTGCATGATGGGGGGGATCACAGTTTCACTAAATGTCATGGCCCTGTTAGAAAAATGAAGCAATACACAAAAATACAACACTCACACTGCCTGCTGCAATAGCTCGTTAAAGAATGTGCTGTGCCCTTATTCTGAGCCTAGAATGGGATCCATGTTTGTATAAACTGCCTTTTTTCTAACTTGTCATAATGTCTGTTATTCTTTTTGCAATAAAATTGATCATTTAGCTGCAGCTGATGCTCTGCTTTTATGTCCTGTCCCCTGGCTGCTTCAGCCTTCTCTTTTCCCCACAGAGCATCCTTAATTAAATTACCCTGCAAAGGGATGGGGAGGCAGAGTCAGTGCACAGCTTGCATTCAAGCAAGAAGGAAGCCAGAAACAAAGACTGGGTTGTCTGGGGAATGGTGCAACCCCCATGCAGTAGGCATGGGTCTTCCTGTGGGAGAAGACAGCCTACAGCCACAGAGTACCTGGCTATAACTAACCTGGGAGCAGGACTAGGCCTAAGACATCCAGACAAAATCAAATCACTATTTGCTTATCTGAAGCATTTTCTCCATATACAAGCAATGCAGTATTTAATCCATTTATTGGTTTATTTAACATGTTATTGCTGCTGGTAGTTAACATACAAGCTAGTGGTTCTCCGACAATTGAGGAGTCAATTGCTAAACCTATTTCTCCTTCTTTTTTCCTACTACATGTGCAAAGGTCAGACATAAAGTGTGGAAGGGAAAGCTAGTGTAGCTGTGTCACTTTTCTGTAGTTTATTCCTAGTGGGTGCTCTGGACATCACGGCTGGAAAGAGAGCTCTGGCAAAGCTCAGAAACAATCAGCAATGTTTGAAGCATTTTGTTGGTACAACAGTAACACGTAAAGCCACTGTCCTTTAAATCTGCAGTACTATCACAGGTAGAGCACCCAGCATCACCTTTGGTAACCTGTCTCCAGTTAATAGCACACGAAGCTCTATGGCCCAAACAGCAGTTATGTACAAGAGTGTCCTTTACCCATAACCAGGTCTGCGAAGCTTTAGCTTAACCACTACAATCGCAGTACCTACAACGTGGGGCAGTGACTGGCTACAGTCCAAGCAAGTACCAAGTGAGTTCTAATGCTCAGCCACAATTGCCATAATTCCTAATTTGCTCTTTTGACTGCTGTACTTCCATTTTTTTATTATTACTTAGTAAAAAAAAGTGTTAATGAGCCTTATAAATGGATTTGGAAATGAAGAGCTGAATCACCTCTTTAGATAAAACAAACACACTATGTGTTGGATTGGAGAGTCTTCTGGCACTCAGCTTCACCCCTTGTTCCCTACCAATCACATGGTGCCCTTATTCCTGTGATGGGGAGAGTGTAAGAACCGGCAGGAGAGCCTTGTCAGCCTCACCGCTTCTGTGGCAAGAGCCCACCACTTAGAGCTCTAGTTAATTCTGAAAGAACTTGTGCAATCTTTCCCATTATTTAGGAAATGGCCTCACGAATATGTCAGGTGTCTACTTCAAGAGAGACAGTGGTTACCAAATAGCAGAACATCAGTCTCAGGAAATAACACACATAATGAAAAATAAAAATCCTTGGAAAATAATTTTTTCCGACTTAGTAAGGACCTGCTGGGAAAAGGCAGCTAATCAGGGTGACTGTTAGCATAAACAAGTTCAAGTCTGCTAGTTCAATCCATTTATTGGGCTTCTGGATGCAAAGCTGAACTGATTTGCATTGATTTGCATCAACTTAAACTTCTTGAGTATTCCCCAGATTAAAACAGGAAGTTCAGTCCTATGACTTAAAATATCCTCTCCTACTCTCCAATAACTCTGCCCTTGCAAAGAATAGCACTGTATTGCTTGACCTTTAGTGGGAAGCTTCTCAGAATGGGACAGCTATGTAGATTTAAAAGGTTTCTGAATGAAATCAATCAGCATGAAGGAGATAAATGAGAATGAACTCATCAGCTTAATCAAAATAATAATTTAGCGACATTACAACTCAGACAGAAATCAACACCCAATATGTGAAGCAGTATATAATTAGACCTACTTCCAAGTAATATTGATGTTTCTAACAATCCAGTTAAAATAACTGCTTAGTCATTTATGCATGTAAATATAATGGTTCTATTCTCATTAATGAATTTTGAGAGGAAATCACAAAATATGTTAAAATGAATGACATACAAAGTAAAATATATAGCACTGATTGCACATTTACCAGCCTACATCAGAGCAGACATATGGCTTCAACCAAGCTAGGTCAACTCTTGCACACCTCAGCATCAGACCTTTAGGACTCTTGCCTAACCTAGGAAAATGAAAGGAGTTTAGCCTTCGTTTGCACTGAGTGGAGTCTGAACTACCTGTTAATGGTTTAAGATTCCTGATGAATTCTGAATAGGGTCAGGATTTCATATCAAACAATCCCTTGCCGGTTTTCAGGGAAAACGGGATTTAATCTACAGAATATGACGTTTACAAAGGGTGTTCTAAAAAGCAATAAAAGAAATCCTGCATATTTTTAAAGGGAAAAATAGAGGAGAAATAAATTAGTCAGACCTAAGATGACTTCACCATACATGTAAAATAAACTTCACAATCTGATCATCATATAAGATTCATCACAATGAGGAAAAAAAAAACACCCACAAAAATAATTAAGCCAATGTGCATATCAGATTCTGAATCAAGCAATTTTGCTGGACTAAGCCTAGAATCGAAATTATCTTGTCTGTGCATGACTAAAGGTTACTGCTCTCACAATTCAAATGGAAAAATGCATTCATCAAAAACGTATCTATTAGCTTCACAATAGTAAGCACTCTGTGAATCCAAAGAAGTTTCTTAGGAATAGGTAATACTGAAGGCTTACCCAGAACTAGATAGCTGCCAATTTTCAGAAACAATTACTCAATTTGCTAGCAAACATTTCTTTCTTCAGTGCTTTGTAAGGAGAGGCTTGGTTGTAAGCACACACTAATGTCTATGTTTGCAACTCTATATACTTAGGTATTTTTAATTTTTCTGGTAACTTAATAGAAT